AAAATCTATTCTAGAAGCCTTTTTCCAGTCTATTTACTCTTCAGTATGGAAGTGTATTTACTCTTGTACAAAACTAATATTTTTATGTTAAAACACGATTAGAATGTTAAAATGATAGCTTTTGTTATACAGATAAACTGTTTAGTTTAAATAATTTTCCCTTTTTAATTTTGTACATAAATAATAAACAAAAAGAGCTTTGAGAATAGATTTCACAAATTCAATAAAACAGAGCATTTTAGTAATTCGGTTTATAAAGTTTATGTTGAATTATTTAATAATATACATAAAAATTATAATCATTACTTAGCTTCTGTTATCTTTGAATTTTGTTTTACTACTTCAACTGACCGCTGCCCTTGCAATATTTTTAAAATACCATAACCGCAAATTACTTTACTGTTTGAGTAGGAAATATGCAATACAACACGAACTCCGGTCGCTCGCCTAATACTCTTTAGAGCTGGCAACAGTGTCTGATCTCGCATTGATCTGTAAATATCTAAAATTTCGTATATAAGCCTTCCCCTTCCCTTTTCAGCTACGGATCTCATTTTGTTGTAAATTTATCAAAGAAATTTAAGTTCAAAAATCTTTTCCCCTCTAAGTGTGCCATGATTAATATGTTAATTATAAAGATAGTTATGAACAATATACTCCATTAATTAATTTCCTATTGGTGGATCTCGGGTTGTCCTCGATTTAATCGGATCTCGCCTTGATATGAAGACGTATATATATATATATATATATATACAGTATTGGAAGATTCAAAACGGAACATACGAATTATTAATACAATTATTAAGATCTCCTGACCTGCAATTACCCAGTGTAAATTTCAATATAACGTCGCGATGTCTTATAATTAATTCATTTGTTCGACTGGACTCCTTCTCCAGTCGATATTTTTCGACTGCTGCGCACGTGCGCACCTTAATAATACGACTAATAGTTGATTGTGTCGGTATTGGCCTATCTTCATACGCACAAGTAAATAAATTTATAATATCACGGTACGAGTTGCCCCCATAATACCATTTTAAAATTTGTACTTTTTCTTTGTTTGTATACATGGTTTATGGTTAGAAACACTACTTTTATTTCAGCTTATGGCGTTATAATGAGAAGCAAAGCAAAGGGCATGTATTTGTTTTGCTCGGCCAGTGATGTTCCTTGGGACTGTTGCCAAATCGATAGATACCTTCGGCAAAAATCTGTAGATTTTGATGTATCATATACATCCTTTTAAATTTTAAATTATCAACAATATTTGGAATAATAAATATATTAAACTATACACTAACCAATTCAAATAATATCTAATGAACACAAAAAAATTGTTATTAATAAAACATTGTTATTATCTGCACAAAAACACAGAAAATCAGTGGACGATAGACAACAGTGTCGACGTACACCTGTCGAATACGCTACTAGAAATCGCCAAGGAGTAGCAATCCAGTCGAACAAATGAATTAATTATAAGACATCGCGACGTTATATTGAAATTTACACTGGGTAATTGCAGGTCAGGGGATCTTAATAATTGTATTAATAATTCGTATGTTCCGTTTTGAATCTTCCAATACTGTATATATATATATATATATATATATATATATATATATATATATATATATGTATATATATATATATATATATATATATATATATATGTATATATATATATATATATATTCAAAGATATTACAGGATTTCTGCTATCTTTGGTTCATTAGCTTCATCAATATTTGTGGTTTCATTCCCCATCTCTGATACATCTTTTTATCATCATTTTGCTTAACTTGCTTCTCTAGGATGTTTTAGGTAGATCCATTAGCTTTCTTTGTTGGGGAAGACTTTCATTCAATCATAGATCAGTACGGCCCCACGGAAGAAATGATCATATAACCTCTCAAACATGACAGTAATCAGTAATGCCCTCACTAATTAATTTTACAGTTTGCTCTTACTTAATTAAGATTACAGATGTTTTCTTGATTGTTTCAATTTTGATTTTAACTTCTTGTAATAGCTGTTCATTCTTTGTTTCATGTTGTTTTTTAGCTTTTAGTTTTTGATAAAACAAAGATATTTGTTGTGTGACCTGATAATGAGGCCTTCTTCTTCCTTTGGTGCCTATCTTTGTGGATGTTTGCAGCTACGCTGGTCCATACAACTTTGTTGACAACTGCTCTAAATAGATGTATGGTAGTCATTCCTGCCCACTGTCTGATATTCTTCAACCACGATGTCCTTCTGCGCCCTTGAGATCTTTTGCCTTCCTTCTTGCCTTGTAAAATTGGTTGAATTAGTTGATACTTCTCAATTTGTAGAAAATAAATAGCATCTCAAGATTCGTGTTCTTATATTAATGTTCAGGTGTATATTACATAAAATCTTCCTGAGGCGATTGAAGACATCTCTCGCTTTTTCTATACGACATCTTATTTCCTGTGAGTGGTCCCATTCCTTATTTAGGCTGCATCCAAGATATGTAATTTTGTCGACTATTTTCAAGGGTTCATTATTAGCTGTGAATTGGTGCTTTATTACGTCGTTTTTACTTACTACAAGAATTTTGTCTCCTTACAGTTTAATTTCATGCCGTATCTGTCACAGACTTCTACTGCACGGTCTATTAATGTTTGCAGATCCTCCGCATTATCAGCAATCAAAACCATATCGTCCGCATATCTTAAATTGTTTATGATTTGACCATTTATTTTTATACCTTTTTTAAAGCATCAATAGCTTCCCTGAACAGCATTTCCTAGTAAGTATTGAACTGCCAAAATGCAGCCCTGACGTACTCTCCGTTTTATCGTGCATTCTTGTGAGGTTTCGTTGTCTACTCGTACAGTTGCCCTTTGCTGTATAAATTTTTAATTAGGCGTAAATCTTTGTCATTAATACTAGATTCTTTCAGTATCTGAAATAATTTTTGATGTTCACCTTGTCAAATGCTTTTTCAAAGTCTATAAAGCATGCGTCGACTTCGCAATTTCGTAAGTTTTCTATATATGCGAGAGTAAATAACAGAAAGAAGGATTTTGAGTGCATGGTTCAAAGTTTATAATTCTGTAATCAGAGCACATGGTGGCATTTGCCTTTTTGGGGAGAGGAATGAAGGTGGAAGCTAGACAATCTGAAGGAAATTCTGCAGTTGCATAGGTTTTGTTCAGTCGACTCGTAAGGAGTTTGAGTAGGATGTTTTCCAATAGTTTCAATATTTCAGCTTGTCCTGAACATTCAGAAACACCGACTTCTCTCTCTTTCTTGAATAATTCTTCCATGTATTGCCCCCATCTCTCAAGTATTCATTTTCGTAGAGCAGATTGTTGTGCTTTGTATTAAGTTATGACTTCGTGATCCGTTTTCTCCCGTTAAGTTTTTGATCTTTTTATGTAGGTTAAAAGTGTGATGCTTCGTTTCTAGGGATGCTATTTCTATGCCATGATTCTTGTACTTCTTTAATCTTTTACTTAAAATTTTAAGATTTTGTTTATTTCTTTGTACCTTTACTCATTCTTATTTTTGTGTTTTCTTTGTTCTTCCATTGGCTCTAATATTTCTTGTCTTATCCACGGCTGTTTCTTTATATTGTCTTCTGGTTTAAGTTTATTATCTACCACTGAATTACAGATATTTTTGATTTTATTCCACATATCATCCACACTTATGTTTTCTTGATTATTATCTGAGATTACCATGCTGTTTACTTTGTTGTTGATCTCCTCTTTGACTTCGTCTCTTGTGATTTTATCTTTCAACTTCTGGATGTCCGGACGTTTTTGTGCTTTTCTTTATGACTTTTTTCATGTGGAGTTTGAAACATCCTAGTAAAAGATTATGGTCTGATGGAACATCTGCTCCCGGATATGTTTTTGCGGATTTTACGAATTCTGAAATCGTTTGTTGATGATGATGTAGTCAATCTGGTTTCTAATCATTTTTTTTTGACAGTCAGCTGAAGATTTCCAGGTGTAGAGTCTTCGAGGTGGTAATTGGAAAAAGGTGTTCATTATTGCACTATCCGTTTCCTCGCAGAACTGAACAAGGCGGTCTCCTCTATCATTTCGTGTTCCTAGTCCAAGGTGTCCCACGTATTGCCAACATCTCCTTTGCCTACTTTGGCGTTGAAATCTCCTAACAGGATATTCACTTCTTGTTTTTTGGTATGTTTTAGGGATTCTTTCAATTGTTCATAGAATATTTCTATTTCTTACTGTGAGCTTTCCGAAGTTGGAGCATATGCTTGAATAATGTTCACTGCTCTATCTGATATTCCTATAAAACTAAGTACACATTTGTTAACTTCTTTATTTACTATTATAGCCACTTCCGTTTTTGTTTCTTGTTGTAGTATCTCCACACTAGTATATTGTGTGGTTTTCTATTTCGCACTGGCCTAAATTGGGGCATCTAACTTCACTGCATCCAAGTATGTCAATGTTGAGTCTTCGCATTTCTTTAATTACGTTATTCACTTTTCGGCCTGGAATAAACTTCGTACATTCGATGTACCAATCTTCTTATCATGCTTAAATCTAAATATTTGTGGCAATCGAGGGATTCTTAGCACCCTCTCCCCACTTAAGGGGTGCCCGGGACTAAGTGCCGTTTCTATATTGACTTGATCCATTGTGATTATACTAAGGAAAGTTAATTGGGGTGGTTTCCCCTTGCCTTCCCTAATGATTTTTCTTTCGTGTGAGGTTTACTCCTTGGGAATGGATATGTGAGAGGATTTATTTGTTTTGGTAGGAATCTTGGGGTGGGGACATGACTTCCCCCGGCACAGGTTGGGGATAGCCATGGTCCGCGTGGGCAGGGTTGCATACCTGAAGTAGATCTATCTCATACCGGGATCGTACAAGAGTATTTACCCGCTACCACATTTGACATTTGTTGTCAGCCATTATTCATTCTCTTTATATGATGTTTAATATCTATAATTAGCACAGTTCTAAAAGATAGTGTTTTATTTGTTTTAGTAACTCCTGAAGATGTGGGACCAGAAACTACTCTCAACCAATATCTCAGAGAAAAACTGCACCTTACGGGAACCAAAAGAATGTGTTTGGAAGGAGGTTGTGGAACATGTACCGTAGCAGTTGAGGAGACCGTTAATGGAAAAAAGAAGATATTTTCAGTAAACTCTGTAAGTTATTCCAAACTCTATACATTTCGTTAATTTTATTGAATTATATATAATAAGCAAGTAAAGAAACAAAATGTATTGGAATAATTTATCTTCTGAAAACCATATTTTTATGATCATCTTTTTTTTTCATCTTATTCCCAAATAATAAGTAAGGTGTAACAAATAAGAACAAATAGAGTAGTAAAGATGACAAGAGATAGTCCTAAATGAACAATGGGGACAAAAGAATGACAACTTACTGGAGGCTCAATAAATATAGACAAGAGTCATGTCTACATAAAAAAGAATATAGCATCTACAGTTGATCTGTTTTTTAACAGATTTGTTGCCCTTAACAGTTTAAGAATTGTGTTGAGTCTTTTACTCCTGCGGATCCAAACTGAATCCTAGAGCTAGATGGCAGCGTCAAGCTAGAAGATCAATCCGACTGAATGATTTGTTTATGTTTGCATTGAAATCAACCGACTGTTATAAAGCACTATCATATTGACTCAAGTAGACTCTAATTTGGCAACGTAGGTGGTAGATGGTTGAATGCGGTATTGCCGCTTAGTTCTTTTTATAAGAAATTGCTGTAAAATTGAAGTAAATCTTTATAATTTTTTACACATTTTTACTATTATAATATGTTGTCAGGACTGTCATATATGCTAAATACATGCTGTTACTGCTATATCTATATTAATTTTTGTAAACGTGTAGGTATAAAGATTATTGAAACTTATTTTTAGTGTCTGGTTTCTATATTCTCCTGCCACGGTTGGACAATCCACACAATCGAAGGAATCGGTAACCCTTTAATTGGCTACAATCCAATCCAGAAAACTTTGGCTGAACATTATGGTACTCAGTGTGGATTTTGTTCACCAGGAATGGTAATGAATATGTTTGCTCTTCAGTCGTCAGGGCAAGATACCAAGGAGGAGATTGAGAATTCATTTGGAGGCAATCTCTGTAGATGTACTGGTTACAGACCTATATTAGAAGCCTTTAAGTCAATTGCTAAAGCTAAAGGTAAGATTTAAGTTAAAAAATATTAAAATATATTGATTATATTTATCTAATCCTTCTATTCCTTTTTCTATTAGTTTTGACATAATTCTTGTATTCTTGTACGTGTCAAATTTGACTTGTTATAAAACCAAAGTGGTGTTTTATTGAAATTTGGAAAAAAAACCCAAACTTTTCATAAACTATTTTGACAAGTATAATAATAACAACGTCATGGTTGTTTGGCATTATAAATAGAGAAATGAAGAATTTTAACCATAATATAAACCCTATAACTTAACTGTAGGCCGCCTTGCAGGCCATTTTGAGATATCTCGTAAATTGAACCATATATTTAGAAAGCCATTGATTTCACGCTTCTTATATCAATATTTTCTTTTTTTAGAAGAAATTCCTGACATCGAAGAGCTCAAACTGTGTAAAAACGATCCCAATAAAATTTGCACGAATGACTGTAAACCCAAGGACAACTTTTATCTTGAGTTGACTGATTCTAGATGGGTTAAAGTACATACATTAAGAGATTTACTGGAAGTTATTAAAATTTCGCCTACAAACAACTATATGTTGGTTTCTGGAAACACTGCAAGAGGTAAGACACATTTTATTTTCATTGGAAAACCCATAACAATAATAATTTCGATTCATTTTAATAAAAAATATTTGACGTCTTAGTTTTTAATATGACAATTCAACAAACAATAACTATTTCACGAATTACGAAGTTATCTGGAAACGTAGCAAACGTACTAAAATATATGTTCAATGCTAAGTGTACGAAAGTTTACGCTTCGAGCGATCGCATACAACTGACTATTGGCTCCTCCCTTTATCTACAAAGAGATCTTGAGGGTTGCAGTTATATCTGTTGAGTTATACGTGAGAGAAATATGGCACTTTGCAAATAACTGATAGATCACGACATACAACTGAAAACCAATATGTTTCAGAGATGCTGAAGCTTACCAGCTTACCTTGTTTTGAGTAACATGTAAAAAGTTCCTCAGAGCCTAATCGTTTGGATGCCGCAGCTGTCTGGAATAAAAGGGTTTTTTTTTAGGGAAAGTGAAAGACGTATGACTCAAAAATAGATAAAAATAGTTCCAGAACTCAAAAACTCAGGTCACCGGTAAAGTACAAACTTAAGAATGATTCCGGTACAAGGTCTGTTATTAAGATGGCGTTTTTCAAATGCTCGTCTATGGACAATAAAATAAATAAATAGATTGTGAGTAAATGTGTTATTTTTTTTCTACTAGCCAGTTTAAAATGAACTCATACGAGCAACTAATAATTTATTATTTCAAGTATTAACATTTTTTAGGTGTTTATAGAGAGACTCAACTTCCTAGTCAATATATAGATATCCGAGAAGTCGCCGAACTTACTCAATATTATGTGAATGCAAGCGTGCTTAAACTTGGAGCCAACATAGTTTTAACCGACTTCATGAGCATCTGCACCAAAGTTTCAACAAATCCTGGATTCGAATATTTGAAAGCTATTGTCGAACATGTAGATCTGGTGGCTTCTGTCCAAATAAGAAATGTAAGTAGTATAATTGAAATGGTCAGTCCATAACATAAATCTACCCTTATTATTCGAATTATTCGACAATGTCAATTGAAAAATAATGAAGTTTAAATGGTTTTGTTCTTTAGTTCTTGCATCAAGCTGTCCTGATCAGATCTGTCTGCTAAATATTATTTTAATGTCATGTTTATATTACGCCCTGATAATGGATCCATGAGATAGGGCTTCTCCTGTTCTCAACTATGTAATATGTTAACATTTGTTCAGACTATTTTAAATTACTCACTAAACAGTTTTCTAATAGTTTAAGTAATAAAAGAGCATCAACAAATTATATAAAATATTAACATAAATAATACAAATGAAATAAAAGAATCTATTTTTTCGCACAAAGCAAAAGGAAGAAAACTGTTAGCAGTACAATCTGAAGCACCTCACTGCCTTTTCTGGCTTCTGTTGTGGAAAGAATGCTGCTGCTTATTTTTTAATACTACTGTTTAGAAGTGTTTAGATTCGATGTAAATACGGACTTGTGCAAAGTGGAAATGTCCGTTTTCAATATACACGTATCCTATTCTAGGCGCCAATTATTTTTTTATTTCAGGAGAAACAGTTTTTGAAAATAACTTTGTTTTGTTGATAAAAAATATACGAAAATATGACAATAGTTATTAAAATTAATAAATAAAAATTTAAAAAGAAGTGCTTAAATTATAAACAGAAGCAATATATATTATTGTATTGCGTCCTTAACACGATGTTAAAATATGCAGATTTAGTGAAATACAGGGTTGAAACTCTCGTCAATTATTATTTTTATTCTTATATATAAAAATAAGATTATTATAAAATCTAGTTTAATTTTCTATGCCACTATTTAACCTTTGTATTTTTTTAATTAAAGAGGGGTCCAGAATTCTGCTGAACGTGCACGAACTCATCGTTTTATAGGTCTTTAAGTTTTACACAGTTAATAAATAAAATAAAATAAATTTATAATCCAATATCGCAGACTCACTGAAGGACACTGTAATTGATATGGTACCAGAAAACGGGGATTACCAGTATACTCGCATTTTACTATTATCATTATTTTTTAGTTAGGAAGTCTAGCTGGAAATCTGATGATAAAATATCGCCATAATGAATTCCCTTCTGATATTTTTCTAATACTTGAGACATTTAATGCATCTATTCGTTTAGGTAAGCTATACTCTTTTAATATTTTTTCTTTAAAGCTTAGATAAACGTTTATGGCACTTTTACAAAGATACTTCATTTATTATTTTAAATATAGAAAACTATAACTCATTTTTTTTGGATAAATATTTTGTAATTCGCACCAAACTATCTGCTACAAAGATTAAAGCGATGAATACTTTGTAATTCGCACCAAACTATCTGCTACAAAAATTAAAGCGATGGTTAAACAGTATGGACATTCTACGGACGCCGTGAAGAAGTCCTGTGACCTGCCATTCTATGATATTGTGAGGCACTGCTTCATGTTGTGACCCACAGCTTTTGAATGAAGTTGTGTTTAGATTTTAGGTTTTTCGCTGTTTTTGTCAAATGAATTTTGAAAAATATTGTTACCTTTAGGCAGTTTGTTGATTCTGTTAGTTATTTTTGTTGCAATATTATTATTTAGGCTTAAACTGGAAACCCCTATGTTCGTGATGTATAGTTGGAGCTTCCATTTATGAAAGTATAGTCCGTCTAGAAAGTATCCGGAATTTTAAATTTTTCCTAGTTTTAATAGATTTCCTTTTTGTAACATTTTAAGACAAAAGTAATGCATCAAGTAGGTTGTGCCGATAGTAGGTTATGGACAAAATCGCATGACAACACCATCAAATATTGTTGTTTGTAAACAGACTTAAGATTTGTGAAATAATGTCGCAAGTAAAAAAGAAAAGTGGTGGAATATTTATATAGAAAGGGTGTCCGAAACGTTAAAAAATTAGTGCAATTGACTGAACTCGGAAAAAGTGCAGTGTATGAGACAATAAAGAGGATAAAAAATAGCATAGATATGAGACATAGACAAGTTTCGGTTAGACCGTAAGATTCGGGGAAACAATTTAAATGCTTTAGTAGCTTTAGACAAATCCGCCTAGGTTCGAAATTAGCGAACAGATTTGGAAATCAACGAAGAATAAAAGTGTGCCCAGAAACTGTCCGCATGTCACTGAAAAAGCAAGGCTACATATCAAGGAATCCAAAAAAATCCCTACAATGACACCTCTGCAAAGGCAACGAAGAATAGATTTTTGTCAACGTTTTCGAGAAGATAATTTTAATAATGTCTTTATATCTGATGAAAGTTTTTTCCAGCTTGGTGTAAATCATCTAAAAGTCCTATCAAGAGAAAATGTTACCGTTCAAATTTCCAAATTTCTCCACTAAAATAATGGTTTGGGGAGCAATATCTCAGCGTGGTGCTACACCTCTCTGTATAGTTAATGGTACTGTTGATAGTGCGAAATATTGTGACATTCTAAATGGTTTTCTTCTTGAAACGGCTCATGTTTTATATCCAGAGGGGTGGCGTTTTCAGCAAGATAATGCAAGATGCCATACTTCTGCTTATACTCAAGCTTGGATGCAAGAACACGAATTGGCAACAATTCCGTGGCCAGCAGCATCTCCAGATCTTAGCCCCATTGAAAACATATGGGGACTGATGAAGATTGAAGTGGAACGAGCAGCGCCACGAGATAAAGAAGGTTTGATTCGGTCAGTTTTACAGGCCTGGAACACCATTACCGAAAATTATGGCCTTCACCTAGTTTCGGGTATACCTGGACGTTTAGTTAAGTGTTTAGATTTAAATGAAGGTTTTATAAGTAAATGAGATGAATTATTTGTTGAAATTTTATATTTCAAGTGAGAAATAAGTACCGTAAAATTATAATTCTGCTTTCTTTTTGCCGGATACTTTCTAGAAGGACTATACTTTCCCACTATATCTAGATTGAGTAACCTACTTCTTGTTGTAGGGGCCCAGTAATGAGCGTAGGTAAACTTTCTTGATCGGGCTTCTATAATGCCAGTAATGTTAACAGAGGAGGTGATACCGATCTCTGAGGAAGTTTCTTCTTCAGTTTTAGTGGTGTGCTGATGTTGGTTCTTATCACCATTTGCTTATTGGAGCATTAAATTAACACGAAAAAGACGGAGAAGCTTGTATATCACACCTCTTCTCTAAACTGTATCATAGTCCGGTGTTAGGTCTATGCATGCTGTTGCGTTTTAAGATTTCTTTGAAACCCTTCCTCAATAAAGGTGGTAACTGAAATAACTTGATCTGTGTTAGTTCTCTTTGATCGAAAGTCTGTTTGTGTTGATTCTATTATGGATGAGTCGTTCTAGTAGCTTAACTGTCTGTAGAAACGGTCTGATGAAACGGAAAAGGTGAGCATATTTTACCTTAAAAATTTGGCAATAATAATTAAAAATTCGTGCCGGGTACTGTCAAAACCTGAAGCCATAGTTTTACTTGGCTTTACATTTTTAAGAGTAATTTTGTTGTATATGCAGGTGCGAGAGTGTTTGATTTCTTTGGCTTCGGATTGTAGGGTTTTAAGCTATTGTTTCAACTTGAGTGTTGGTGGCTTACTTTTTGATACTCTGCATTTCGATACCAAATAAGGGCTTTCGGCAATAGAGAGAGCTATGATCAACTGCAGGATAGACTCCCAATACAGAATGCTCATACATAATATTTACAAGTAAGCTACAATGAAAATACATCATTCTTCGATAATATGGGATCAACCAGAAACGAATTCCTTCAATATTCCTTTGGTATGTACTTTTTAGCTGTGTTTTTTACTTTCCCGAGAAATCTTTCATAACCTATGCAGGCAGGTTGTATCCAGCTTAGGAGATTGTCCAATTTTGTAGAAAACCTAGCTTTTCTTAGATTTAACCCTAACTGAGCGATGGATGTGATTATGGGGACATGTATTCCTACTTTTATGATAAATGGACGACCCTGACTGTGAAAAGTCAAACAATATTTTGGAGATTTTCTGCTATTTTAAGTAGACACAAAAAACATAAATCCTAGTATAAAAGGCTGTATCTTTGCCTCTTTGCTGCTGACATAAATATAGGTTGGTCTTAAGTATGGAAGTAATTGAAGAATGTTTGTATTCTACCCACTAGTTCTGTTGTAGTCTCTTACGTATATGAACGGTTGAGCATGTGAGTGAATTATTTAGCTAGGTGCTTTCCCCTTCCTCGTAGTTATTTTTTCGTTATAGTGTGTCAATTGTAGGACAACCTGGTCAATATTGTTATTTCTTAAAAAACATTGATAGGTATTGGCACTTTGAATAGCTGATAAATTTCTACACGTAAATGATTGTCTCTGATCTTAGATATATGTTTTATATTCATTCGGTCCTGGGCAGTTCTGTTTGTTTGATTGTTAATTTGAATCCTGATATTCCCTAATGAAATGCTTTGTAATGTGTATATGGTGAGGAGATCCTAAGATCGTTAGTATTCGCTAGCCCATTTATCGTTACTTGTGCATAGAAACTATTTTTTTTAATAAGTAAACCGCGTCAACCATGAAAGGTTATTGGCGGGAAAGAGTTATACATAAAATGTGATTTTTGCTTATAACTACTGTTTACAATTGATAACTTAAGACTATTTTTATATTAGATTGTACAATTTAGTCAGTTTTAGAAACTTAGTCACTTTATCACATTCACTATAGTCCAGAGCACTTTTCAGATCATCTGGTAAATTACTTTGAATTCGTTCCAGGTGATAGAGTGGCCAACTAACAATAATGTGTTCGATTTTCAAAGGAATATCACAAACATAGCACAGTTTTTGTTGTTCTTTCTTCATTAGGTACTGGTGGATTAACCTGATATGTCCTATTCTTAGAAACTATTTTATACAAAAGAAACAAAAGGAACATTACTTTTATCATGAATGTGTTGCTTGTGTGAGTCCATTTCAAATAGGTAAAGAAATAATAAATAAGACTTACTCACAATCAATTTAATTTAACTATCAGACGACCGGTTTCGCTTTCTACAATATGCAAAGCATCTTCAGGTCTCGATACAAAGTTAAACAAATGCTGAAATGATAAAAACCCATATTAGGGTGTTGTCTAATAAAGATAAACAAATTAGATGTTATAAATTACAATAATTATACCAATATGACCTGTCTGTGGTTTTATTTAAATGATTGAGTTGAATAAAAGGTATAAATATTTTTTAAGAAAGTTAAAAGGACAAGGTAAGGCCCACAAATTGTCATAAAATCTCTTCTATTGTAATAAATTAATAAATGAGCAAATAAATAAATAAAATAAAATTACTTACATGCCGGTACTCTATTAATAGATGGATGGTAGAACATGTTTGAAACTACTGTAATTGTGAATGGATCAAACATGTTCTACCATCCATCTATTAATAGAGTACCGGCATGTAAGTAATTTTATTTTATTTATTTATTTGCTCATTTATTAATTTATTACAATAGAAGAGATTTTATGACAATTTGTGGGCCTTACCTTGTCCTTTTAACTTTCTTAAAAAATATTTATACCTTTTATTCAACTCAATCATTTAAATAAAACCACAGACAGGTAATATTGGCATAATTATTGTAATTTATAACATCTAATTTGTTTATCTTTATTAGACAACACCCTAATATGGGTTTTTATCATTTCAGCATTTGTTTAACTTTGTATCGAGACCTGAAGATGCTTTGCATATTGTAGAAAGCGAAACCGGTCGTCTGATAGTTAAATTAAATTGATTGTGAGTAAGTCTTATTTATTATTTCTTTACCTATTACTTTTATCCTTTGACATAACCAAAATTTTTATGTGATACGTCAGTATGGTGCACATTTTGCATATATTCGATATACAAAATAATAAAGAACTTTTTTAATTGTATTTTATTTTAATTTATCAAAATATATTTCTGGTTTTTAGTTGACGTCGACGGTAACGAGTCTTTTTGCACTCCTCAAGAGTTCCTTCGAGTTGATATGACTAGGAGAGTTATTAAGAATATTATATTAAGTACTTTGGACACCAGCTACAAGTACGCAACATACAAGGTAAGTTATTATAGCGGAGGTCAAGATATACTGTTTTATTTTATAATTTTTAAAAAAGTTTCGAAAATGTGCGGTGTAAGTGTTCACAACATTTGTGACATCCGCGAAGAGGTCCAGCAAGGCGAACTGAAACTGGTACAAAAAAGAAAGAAACACTGTTTCCAGTCCAATTCAAGTGGGAATACTTACGATGAGGAAGCTGTAACAAAAATGGACTGGCTGGAGCGCCAATATAACAAGAATGTGTATTGTAGCAATAGGGTAAACTCTAAAATGTACCTTGATACACCAACGGATTAATATCTGGAATAACAGAAGATGGAAGGGATTAGATAGAAATAAATTATATGAAAGAAATAAATAAAGGGTAAATATGAATTTTAAAATATAATAAAATTAATGCTGGCTAGCGACTATGCAGGAGAATGACCACTTGACACTCAAGAGGGATTAGGCCAATTTGCATGCCCTACAGTGACCGTAAGATAGAAGAACTAATGACAAGAAATCTACCAAGAAATAATCAGATGAAAGATAAAGTTGCTCTACTTAATATTTGGGCGCCAGGAAGTTAAATGGTTTCTTCCGAGATATCTTGTATTGCTGAAATATTAAAGGATAGGTACCAAGTGAAATCTTAAAATATTTTAACCCAACTTTAATAAATACCTATATTATGTACAACTTATTTTAAACCCTTATATATAACAATATAACCCAACACCTCTTATATACAATTAACTAATCTATATTTACAATGAAAACCCTGAATATAATGATAAAATAATTTCCCCCCCTAATGTACCTGATAATGTGAAATTTTGACTAAGGTTATGCAATAGTTAAATATATAATATAAAATGAAATATAATAATATAAACGTTCCAATTATCAAATAAATGAAATAAACCTCTCCAGATATGTGTGCACACTATAACCTGATAACGAGAGAGTCCAGGGGAGTTACAATCTCAACCCTTGGTGGACTATAAATAATTAAATTACGTTACAATGATTAATATTTTATGAAAAAGTGAAGGCAATTATTATTAATGATATATATTTAAATTAAAGTAAAGCAAAAGTTAAAACCTTGAAGAGGATGTTGAAAAAAGTTATAAAAAATATTGGAATGACAAACAAAAACAAAATAAGTTCTTCCTGCCGGTTTCCGTAGGTTGCCCTGGAAGATGATCCGGTGAAGAACTAGACTCCAGTGGGTAAAAGTACACCAAACCTGGGTTCCATGTATATATAAAAAAATCTTCTTTAAATCCCCATATAACTTAAAATTTCTTCCCCTTCTCCTTAATAAATGTAACCCCAAAACTAAAAGGTTTCTTCCCTGACTTGTGACTGGGTTCCGGAAGTTGGCTAAAAAAGGAACAATTGTGTTACTTCATGTCCTTTGTACATACAAAAAGGTATGAAAAACACACAAGGTTTATCAACCTTGAAAGGTGATACAAGAAATGTCAACCAGTGACCTTAAATTGGAATAAAAACCCTAATGGTTTTGATAAATAGTGACCTTCGAATGGTGTGACAACGTTTTTTATAAGATAGTTTTAACGGAAAGCATGATCTTTATATATTATAAAATAGGAAAAAAGAAATATTAGCCGGTTTAAACGGTATGGAATTGAAATAGATAATTGTTTGCTTTCATCCTTGGAAAGAAATAAAATTTGACATGATTATAAAATATAATACTTGTGATGTATTTAGGTATTAATGAAATAAAGTAAAATAGGACATATATAAGATGTGTGAAATATCTATCGAGAAATATCGTAAAATAGGACATATATAAGATGTGTGAAATATCTATCGAGAAAGGATTAAAATTGATTTGAATTTCACTAACAATGGCGGATGATCAGACATGGTTTTTCATGTAATATATTTATAAGTTCATCTTACCGGCGGAGGTGGTCCAAAACTTAAAGTATCCTCGTACAAAACACCCAAAAATAACTTAAATTGTTGTCCTTAAATCAGCGGTTCTTCATAAAAAAAAATAAACTTAAACTAAATTTCTTAAAAATGGCACCTCCCAGCCGCCACTATGATCGATCGATCTGTCTTCGATCACACCCAGTCAACAAGTAATTCTATTAACACTTACAAGTCGTCAAGTCGACGTACTTTCAGAATCTTACACCAGAGGTCGGGATTTAATGCCAACCTTAGAAAGTAAAATTTGCTGGGAGTTATTTAAATATTCAGTTTAAGAATATTTCAAATATGAATTTAAATTAAAGTTAAATTAAAAGACTCCAGTCACAAAAAAGGTAAACGGTTATTTAAGTAACGCACTCGTTACATTCCCCTCTTACTTGGAGAAAAAAAATTTTAAGTGGAAAATTTTTTTTTCTTTTTACTTGACTGATTGGTTAGATGTAGGTTAACCAATACTTTAACCATATGTGGAGCAATCAAGAATCGAGAAAAAAAAATATAAACATATATATAAAAATTATAGCCATGGCACCAATTTGCCAAATACAGCTATTATATTAACTCACTATAATACTTCCAAAAAAATCTACATCGATTCACACGATTATAATTAACCACAGATTATGAGTGATGTAGAGATAAAGAAATGGTTTCATCTAAAGATACCCACATGTAACTAAGTAAAAAGTCACATACTATTTAGAGTAAAATTAAAGTAAAGTAAGACTCTAACACAGCATAGTTTGGACTAGTAATACAAATGCTCAATACAAATAATCCAAAATAATGTGAAATCGGACCCTGGTTCCAAAATTGACTCATCAATGGACAACAGATTTATAGGAGAGCATATCCAAGGAATAATCAATCAGGCAAATGGGTGTACCGATACACAATAAGTAATAATAAAAATACCAAACGTATATAAAATATATACGTAACAATAAAAATACTAAACGTATATAAAACAATATAAGTGTCGAATTGGATGGTAAATCCAAAATTGACCATACAGTGGACAACAGATTTATAAAGTAGCATATCCAAAGAGAATCAATCAGGCAAATAATGATCCAATTCACACTATAACCAAATAAACCAAAAAGGGTAGGTCCACATATACCCACATCCGGTAATATGTGCCTAACCTAAAAATTCACCAAATAAATTATTGGATCAAAATGTGGGACTAACGGCCTGAACAAAAGGACAGCCATAAAATCGATTCCATCCTGATGATATGCCATCAGTACATTTGGGATCCAAAATAAAGACCAAAAATAAAAACTAGGAGGTGTGATACACTTAATCATCCTAGTAAATGTAAAGCTGAACAAATTGAACTCAAAAGGTAGAGTACCAAAGCATGTGAACTGCTGTGGTAACTTCTTACAACAAAAATTAACTTATGCTGATATTCGATAACTATAGCAGGTAGCTACAACAAATTTATAAGAATATCTAACATAAGATCACTAAAAGGAGTTTAATGTGACAGTAAACTCTAACAACCATAGCTAAATAGTAAGAGTAAGGTGGAAGTAATAACAAACAGAGCATCAAGAACGAGTAGACCAATTTCTGAAGAAACTGCAAATTTATAGGTCGTTCTGATATTAATAAAAGAGAACAGGATAATTCCTTGTTCAATATACCAAAATATAGATAAGTGGCTAAGGAAAGAAGTGAAAATAACTATAAATGGTCATTTGTTGTCAAAATATGAAATACTATCCATAACTGTAATCTAAACATGCTAGCTGTAAAGGGAATATGTCATGGATTGCTCCCTCCAATAAACTATATAAATAAAATTAATAAATCAGCTAAGGAACAATTCAGTTATTAGACCAAAGTCTGAAAATATTAAGGATTAACGTTAAATATTCAAATCCTAATTAACATTAACAATAATTTACTATCTATGGAAGACATTCTACTGCCTAGATAACTGTACAGCTTGTCATGAAAATGGTGAATTCCGAAATTCATAGAACAACTGAGGCCTCTAATTGAACTAAAACTTCGAACCCACATATTCATTCACCTATACACAGGCAGAATAGTCTATATAATATAGGAGTGTACTAAAATTATGTATACTGATTTTCCATATAAATTCCTAATGACTGACTTTGAAAAAAAAACATCCCACATAGCAAATCGAGATACACGTTATTATAAACTTGATCATGACCAATAAACTTAATCAAATCCGTAAAAAAAATACAACATTCTTTCCAAACTGGCAAAACAAGTAAGTAAAATGGGAAGAAAGTGATACAACGCATAAACATATAGCACAGTACAGTAGCATTACAATATTTAGTTCCATACCAGTGCAACACCTAATATAAGTAAAAATCTCTAATGGCTTTAATAAATTTAACTTATTATAAACAAATACTAATCAAATTATAAGCTGTAGATATTCCAAATCTGGTGATTAATAACAAAAATCTAAGAAAATACCCAAATCGTAACCAAACCGAGCCAAAACAATAACAATCATAGGAATAAGTTAACTTAATAGGCATTAAGTTAATCTTCCTCTGAAGATGAAGATGCTGCCTCATCTGTTGTATTATCAGGGAGTAAATCCTTTATATGAAATTGACCAATTCGTCTATTTGTCGAATTGTCTTTTAATTCATAAACTAAAGGAGATATTACCCTAACGACAGTACAGGGAACATATTTCTGACAAAACTTAGCAGAAATGGCATCACCTTTATTTGATTTTACAAAATTCCGTTTCAAAACTCGATCGCCCACAAAAAATCGCAAATCTCGTTTCCTCAAATTATACTGATGCTGATTTCTAAGGTAAGAAGCTTTTAACTTCTTCCTAATGTCAGCGAATATTGGAGGTAGGTTTTGGAGATCTTCCATACGGTGAAGTTTCTCAGAAATTTGAGGAAGAGTTGTCGAATTTTCAGAAATTAAACCGAAATAATCACCTGACAATGGAACATGCCTACCAAAATTAACATAAGCTGGAGAACACTGAGTGATTTCATGAACAGAAGTTCGAATGG